CCGAACTGGGCATTATACTGCTTGTTCTTTTTCATACGCTCGGACTCCATGGGAACTTTAAAATGCTCTAATATCCTCTAAACCAGGAAGACATATGGAAGTGCACCCTTGTTCTTAGCCTTATACATAATCCAACATATATAGTGCCTCTAATTCGTCTGTATGCTATGACAGATAGCCCACAAGAGAGGTCATTCACCCTCTAGCACCCTCCTATGATTCTGTGCTCGCGGGAACAATATGTGGGTCATGATGTAGAACATAATATGGGCATTAACACTAAACAGTCCCACAGTATAAATAACATCTTCCCCACACGCGATATCACGCCTCCTGGTCCCCTGCACAATATCCCTTCACACATATCCAGGAATGGGGGCATTGTTTTCCCCATCATACTCCACTACATCACTTGCATCGAAGTCGTGTCCTAATAACTCAAACCATATTGGAGCTGTCATCTCTATCCCTTTTTCGCAAACACGAGACCTCAGCTCACCTTGTGAATAACTGAGGTTATTGTAGAAGGTTCTTACCATAACCTCTGAATATAGACAAGACATCTCAGCCAACACTCTTAGATGTGACGCCTCCAACAATGCCACTACGTCAAATCCCTTCGACACAAAGAATGCCAAATCCAATGACTTCGGCCCAATAATAGGTTTGCCAACCAAATCATATATAAATCAAGCATGCTTCGAGCCATCATAATCAGGCAAATATTCTAATGGGAGGTCTATAGGCTCAGGCTCATGTGTCCTCGAAAAAGAAGGACGACAGTTGTGGTGCTTGGTCCGTTTTTATCTTTCAGTTGCAAATTTCTTCGAAGTTCATTTGCTGTTAGCCATGACAACAACAAAAATCTACAAAAACACAAGAAAACTTATCCACAACACATAACACAAACATAATAAAAAATAAACTGAAAAATCAGTCATGAAAATCGACCAAAATAATAAAAATTACAAAATCTATGAAACTTAAACCCTAAATCATATACATTCATCAAAACCTAAACAAAACAACCATAAAATCGAAAAATCAAAGCAAAACCTTATGCCAATTGAACTAAACCACTACCCAATCAGTCTAGGGTTCATAAATCCGAAAAAGAATAAGTAAAAAAATAAGCAAACCGAAGAAAACATATCGTGCAACATGAAGAAACAAGCAGGAGATGTTGTCTTGTGAACCCACCACATGATTGAGGGAAGATTTTAGGCAAAAATCATGAATTTGAGTCTTAAGGTTTGTGTACTCGATTACCCTTTTGTTTATAACCCTCTTCGGCCAAATGAGGATTTTTAAAAAACATCCCTGACATACGTTAATCGATTACACTATTGTAGTAATCGATTAACTTACGTGGTCAACGGTCAAACATGTATTTTTTAATCAGTTAAGTCATTTTTGTAGTCGACTACACTATTTCACGATATTTAATCGATTAAGTAAGTGTTTAATCGATTATATTGCCTAGTCAATGATTAAACAAAGGCAGATTGGTGTAAAGTTTTGAGTCAAGGGAAAAATGGTAGTTTTTTAAATTAATTAGGGGCACTATGGCTAAAAAGCCATAAAAGACACATAACCTTAAATTCAATGGCAGAGCCACTTGGTAACCAACTGGTTTTAAAAAATGGTACATGTTTTCTTTAAAATTTATTGTACAACCTTGATACTAGTTGGATTTTCAAAAATGGTATAACCTTGGCACTAGCTGGGTTCTACCTGGTTGGACTTTTGGCATTGGCTTGGTTTATTTCCTAACTCCGCCACTGCTTAAATTTAGTGGTTATTTAATTAATCACCGTTTAATTGTACAAAAAGACTCTCATTTATGTTTACCTAGGCAATTAGTACTATTAGTAGTGTCTTGAAATTCATATTTCTTATTTCTTTCAATTCTATTTTAGCTGTATGATGCTCTACATTTTATACATATTATAATCTTTTTTAAGTTGGTTTATTTTATAGTAATTCAATGTCAATCATGCAATGTTATAATGGAAGTAGAAGGTGGAGACAGAATTAAAATAATAATATATATAAAAATTAAATTACTTTTTCATATGATAATTTAATTAAAATAAATATTATATGTAGAGATCGAAAATATATTTTAAATTTATTTCTTAAAATAATAATTTATTATACGTCTAGTTTTGATTAATCTTTAAAATGTTTACTTTATTTTAAGAAAGCTTTCTTCACAAAAAATTTGTTATAATCTCCTTCCTCACATTTCTACATCAGATTTTCTAAGCGGATGCAAAGCCCTCATTACCTATATTGCACCGATATTGATACAGGCTCTCAAGAACGGACACGCTACAATTTGAAAATTTTGCGTGTCGGGCCCGGTAACCGGCCGCATCGACCCGGTAACCTTCGTCACCGTCGGTTCCCGCAACCAAGCCTTTTTTTTATTATGTCTTTCTTTCTGAAGGGCTTGCGGTTCATTACACCAAAGGCTGGCTTTCAGTGAACTATTGAAGCTATCGAGAGAGTACCAAATGCTGATGAAGGTTACCGACTTTCGATGGACGCGGAGCCAACGAGTCTTTAAGTAAGTGGGCGAACAACGTAACGAGTCTAAGGTTACAGAAGCGTTCGCCAACTTTGATAGGTAAACGCATTGCAAGCAAATAGAGCAGAGAGCTTACCGTCTGTTTCTATTAGAGTCGCGAGTTTGTTGTAGTCGGTCCGTGAAGGGAGAACTTGCTGCTTACTTGCTATATCCTCGCGTTCTTGCACGGCGTGTCCGACACGCTTCCGACACGTGGTCAATATTTGGGGATACGCGGTCAACTCTCCGACATGTTTTGACACGTTTTTCGACATGCAGTCAACTTTTTTCGACACGTGGTCAACGCTTGGACACGTTTTTTTAGTCTTAATTTTATTTTATTAACTAAAAATAAAAAAAATTATTTATAGATCAATTTTTTTCTGTTATGGAATTTGACATGAAAAATTAACAAGGTATGAAAAATTATTTTTGTTTATATTTATGTTATGAAATTTGAATATTTGATTGGTTATATGGCTTATTATGGACTGTTATATCTATTAAATATAAATTATATTATATATATTAAAAATATTATTTAATATCAAAACGCGTCCCAACGTGTCGTGTCCCGTGTCCCGTGCCCGTGCCCGTGCATCATAGGATACAGGACACGGGATATGACATGATACTCTGACACGTTAATTCTAAAAAGTATTAGATTTCGACATGTTAGGACACATTTTAATATTAAATAATATTTTTAATTTATGTAGTATATATTATATTTAATATTCAATAATCTAATAAAAAATAAAGTTAAACTTATAATGCCCATCAATTTTGCAAAGAAACATAAAATATCACAAATACTTATATTAAACTCAATAAAATGGTAATCATAATCTAACGAATCTAATAATTGTAACTAAAAACGCAACGAAATCCACACCAAAAAAAAAATGCAACGCAACCATTGAACCCTCTTTTGAGTTTCTACAATATATGTTGGAGTGTCAGAGAGTGTCGAGTGTCGGAAAGTATCAAACACGACATGTCAGATTTTTTGAAGTGTCGGTGCATCACAACTCATCCTTACTAGCCCTAAACAATTCACATTTAAAAAATATCTAAATATAGATAACGTTATTATAAATCACTTTTAATCGAAATTTATAAAATTAAGTTAATGCAAAATTAATTTTGTAATAACTTGTGGTCTAGTGCATTACACACTTTTTTAAGAAGGGATATTTAAACTAGAAAATGAGAATATGTAAATCAGTTAAAGAATATAACTATAAATTTTTTAAAATAAAATAAAATTAAAAATAGCATGTTTTATTTTTGTAATAGATTATATTAAAAAAATAAGTTACTATTCATATGAATGTACTGTAATTTAATAGATAAAAAATAGAAATTCAAAATTTATCTTCACACTATGAATTGCTAACATCAAACTCCAAAAAAACACAACTTAACTTTAATAATAAAGGGTTAAAATATGATAAAAAAAAGGGGTTAAAATATAAGAATTTCCTTTATACCTAAAATTTAAATATATTGTAAATAATTTTTAATTGATTTAATTATTTTAACTAAACTAAGACAGAGTCTTTTGTTAAAAAAAATCAAAAGATGTGTCATACTTATCACTGTTTCAGGCGTTGTTAATAAACCTGGCCCAGCTAGGTCGATTTGAAATCAGTGAATCGGTCATATAATAGATCTGGGTGAAGCAGCGGATCGCTAATGCATTGAACCCGGTGCGACCCAGTCAGTTTTAGTGAAAATCGATGACTCAGTAAGTTAACCGGTGACTCAGTCCGATTTATTTAAAAAAAAATTCAAAATTTTTATAATTAACATATTGGAGTAGTCTGTTATTTATTGACTTATATAAGTTATGTACTACAAGCATTATATATTTGTTTGATCTTTTATTAGAGAATAATGTGTAATTTATTATTTTTATATTAAAATATTTAGAACCAAGTCAAGATGATACGGATCAACCTCTCTTTATCCCGTATCTCGATCCGGTCAATGACTAGGCTAGTTTTAATAATATTGAGTTTAGACTTATCACTTTTACTACCTAAATAGTTATTGTTAGATCAATTTAAATTTAATAATTAAAAAAAATATAATTGTCATAATTTTAAATTGATCCGATAATAACCAATTGATAATAGAGAAAAATATTTATCTTTTAAATGACACAACTTATATCCTTTCACTCTCACAAAGAGATGAGACCCACACCTTAATTTTTTTTTTTGTCAACTCTCTCTTTCTCTCTCTTAAAATAACACAACTTTATATTCCTTAAAATAATACACACTTCTTCGTTTATAATAAGATTAAAATGGCCGTAACTATAAGTCTATAACTCTTTCGTATAAAAAATTCCTAATTTTGTTTTTTAAAAAAAGGGCAAAACAGGCGCAAGTCCCAAAAACAAAAAAGCGAGAAAATATAGGGAAAACACAGATAATTAAAGTCAAGAAAGGGCGCATCCATTGCGATTTCTCTTCTTCTTCTCCTTCTTCGTGTTTTGGTCGCATTCTTTCTATAACAGATCGCAACCTAGAGAGAGAGAGAGGAGAGAGAAAGCGCGTTAAAAGACCAATTTGACCTTCGATCTTCTTCATCTTCCTCTCTCTCGCTTCTCGATTCGTTTTCAAGTTATTTGTTCGTCACATTCATTCACCATGAACGAGAAGGCCAACGTTTCTAAGGAGCTCAACGCCAAGCACAAAAAGGTTCCTCTTCCTCTTAGGTTTTCCTTTTATTTTCATTTCATTTCTTTATTTCTTTCTTCTATTTTTTTTTTTTGAATTTTATTTCAATGTCAATAATAATATGTTAATGTGCCATTCCTGAATTCACAAATCACCTCGGATCAATAATCTTGAATTATCGGATTGGATTCGATAATTCGAGAAACCGAAGTTCGAAGTTGCGACTTTTTGTGATTCCTTATGTCATAAATAGCTGTTAAATAATTCTTTTGTTAAATTCGATGAAAAAAATGTGTCGTTGGTTGGTGGTAATGGTTTTCTGAGAAATTGATCTGCTTGTTACGTTATTCGTTTACTGATTGATTTTATATGTTTAATTATTTTGGGGATTAAATTAATCAAAGGTTATTGTAATTACTATTTAATTTTCTTTTTCTTCTTTTTGGAGGTGTTTTGAGGTCATTTGCTTGCTCAATGAAATACTATGGAGCCATTGGAAGCATTGTTAGTTGGGAACTTGGGATTACTCAAAATCTTTGTGTTAATCTGGAGAAACGTTCAAACATAGTTTTTCCTTTAATTGTCTCTCACTTTATTTGTTTTCCTTCGTACTTCCTGTTATTTCTGTATTTGTTAATTTCTCGTTTTGAGGATGATTTAATACATGAAACGGGTTTCGGTCATAAGGAAAAGACTTTGTGCGGATCTTATTTGATTTGAAAAAAAAGTTGTTTATTAATTTTATTTATATTTTGAGCTGCAAAAGGCCCTAACTTCATTCGAAACTCAAATGTTATAAGTTTAGATAGTTGGTTTATTCTTCATTGAAATCTCGATCAATTTTCATCTATTGGAAATTTTCCAGTCATGAGGGTTTATATCCTTTATTTTTACAACATATGAACTATAATTTGGATTGTTTCCTTTATTGAACGGTTGCATTTGAATCTTGCTACACTTAATTTTTCTTCTTCTTTTTTTTCCTTTACGTTTGCTCTTTTGATTAAATATTTTCTTTATTTACTTTAAATTAAATATGCAGATACTGGAAGGACTTCTTAAATTACCGGAGAATAGGGAATGTGCTGACTGCAAAGCTAAGTATGTATCTGGCTGGATCTAAATGTTTCAATCCCTATCACACATTCTTATATCAGTAGGAAACCAAGGAAAAGATACTATTCGTTCCATGGAAATTGAATTGTCTTTGTATAAAGCATTTTCAGGATTTTTTTTTTTCTTAATTGTTTGTTCACAATTTTTTATGAAAATTTGATTTGCAGAGGCCCAAGATGGGCTAGTGTCAATCTCGGCATCTTTATATGCATGCAGTGTTCAGGAATACATCGAAGTCTAGGGGTACATATATCAAAGGTAATGTTATGTTCCTTGGTATGGTAGAAATGATTGAGGTCTGTGGGTTTCTCTTGTAATGCTGATGCTTATAAAGGTCTTAGTTTGATCTATCAGAAAAAAATGTATGAGGGGAAATTGTGTATTCAGGTCGACACATATGGAAATAGAATCATTTTGAATTCAATTACATTGAGTATCTTGTCTGTGGACTCTGTGCTATGCATATGTTGCACCAATTGTATTTTAAATAATTAATTTCATAGTCTTAACTATATGATTGTTTTGGGGGACTATATTATTTTTTATTCTCATTTCACACGCTTGCTAGCTAAATACTAACTAAAGGTTTCTTAATGAGTAACAATAATGAAAGTATATATTCCTTTTTAGCTGGTAACTTGCATCTTGATTGTTGTTGTTATCAGAAAGTAGCATTGCTGTAGGGCATTTGTTTGTCAATACATGGTTAGATTGTTATTATTATTTTACTCAGGCTCTAAAGAGTGTTAGGCTGATAACCTATTTGGTTCACACAATATTTCAATATGACTTTTTTTCATTTTCAATCTATTATCAATATTAATACTGACTCAATTTCATTTAGTAATAACTGAAACATAACTACTAAGTTCTACCTATTAGATATTTACATTCTAGTCCGTAAATATTTATATTAACTAAAGGCTGATTCTAAATTTAAACCTTGCTAGTACAATTTTATTTTTATTTTTTATTATATGCTTGCTTAATAGCTTTTCTGCAGGTTCGCTCTGCAACTTTGGACACCTGGCTCCCGGAGCAGGTTGCTTTCATTCAATGTAAGTGGATCTGAATGGTCATGACTTAGTTGTTATTTTGAGTTTTGTTAGTTAGCAATAGTTATATAGTCTGCTCATTATATTTGAATTTCTTTTTTGGTCCTATATAGCGATGGGAAACGAGAAAGCAAATAGTTACTGGGAGGCAGAACTACCCCCAAATTATGATAGAGTTGGAATTGAAAATTTCATTCGTGCAAAGTATGGCTGTTGTTAAACACCTTGAACCAGACTATTTTTTTTATCTTTGTACAGTTTGAAGTGTATGTTTCTTATTATGTGCACCTCGTGAAAATAATTCTTTACTTTCAATCTTTGCATATATTTAAAGGTATGAAGAAAAGAGATGGGTTGCAAGGGACGGGAAACCCAAATCACCTTCTAGTCTGCGAGAAGAGATAACTCCTTCACATTGGCAAAGGCCTGTGGAAAGAGGTGGGCATGCCTATGCAGTAGCGTCTGAGAATACTTTTGAGGAAAGGAAGAAAAGCCAACCATCAAATGTAATTCCTGCTACAAGAATTAGTGTTCCTGCTCCTCCCAAAGGACCTGAGCTGGTATAATCTTCTTTGTTCTTAATGTAATTGTTTTATATGTGAACTTCTCTCTCTCTCTTGTTATTTTTCCTATTTATGTGTTGAATTATAGTGGTTTTGTAGTCATAAAGGTCCATTGTTCTGCAATCAGTGCCATGATTCATGAGTTACTAGTATTTTTTATCAATAAAAGTAATACAAGAAGAGAAAATGCAGAGTCCTTCCATCAACTTTGAAGCGATAACAAATAATACTCTCAACCTTAAATTAGGCATCCTCCCTCTTATTTTTAAGAAAAATGCTTTAATAGTTACTGTTAGAATATTAGATATGATATGATTAGATATGATTAGATATGATTGGATTCCGTCTTATCCGTAAATATTCTGACTGTATTAGGATTAGGTTTGGGCCTTTCACTTAAGCCCATTAGGGTCTCTATATATTGTAACTCTCTGACACAGATCAATATACAACATATTATTTTGTATTCAAGTTGGTACCAGAGCTCTTTTGTTCTGGGAACCCTCGCTTCCGCTTAGAAACCTTGTTTTTTGCTTTAAAACCTAAGCCCACTGCTTAGGAGTCCTCTTTCTTGCCGTGCGTCCTTCCGGCAAGCCTTCTAGGGCTGTAAACAGCCTCTGAGTGATTTTTCCAAACGCGTCAGCACCTCCGACGGCCACCGGAACCACCGCCCGCCGTCAGAATCACTGTTCAGGCAACCGGAGACTTTTTCCGGCCACTTTTCCGACCAAACTTCACGCGATCAGGACCCTCTCTTCCCGGCGACCAGGTCTGTGGTGGTCCGGTCAACAACGCATCTTCCACGCGCCGTCACGCGCCACCTGTCTACTCTGCGCGTGGGCTTCACGCGCCACCTTCTGCCGGCGCGTGAGCACTATTCCAGCGGCTTTTTCCTGCCGGTCTTGGACAGAGAAGCTCGCCTTCTCCTCCCCTTTCTGGATCTGTGATTGTTTCTCTGTGGGTCTGACCTTAGACGCGTGGTTCTTCTTGATTGGATATCGTTTACGGCTTTTATATTTTATTTTTAAATGGCAGCAGCATCTCTTGATCTCTCGGAGGTTAACTCTCCTTCTATTGTTGCAAATATAGCTCAGTCAGACAATGCATCATTTGGTTCAGGTTTGGACTATGCTGCACTCCAAACCCCTCTCAGGAAGGCTTCTCCTCAGTCTCAGCCTTATACTGGTAATCCCGTTGCTTGTGTTTCTCATTCTACATCACTTGGCACTTGGATATTTGACTCCGGTGCTACCGATCATCTCTGTGGTAATAAGGAACTCTATACATCTCTTACTTATTCTGATCATTTACTGTCTTTTACCCTTGCGGATGGAACCAAAGCCCTAGTTCGTGGGATTGGACAAGCTCGTCCGACCTCTACCTTGGCCCTGACATCTGTCTATTACATTCCTGGCATCCCTTATAACTTAATTTCTATTAGTAAGTTGATCCACTCCCTCACTTGCACCATTACTTTCTCTAACCATTCTGTTTCTGTGTAGGATCCGGGTACGGGGAAAATGATTGGAGTGGGTCGTGAGTCACGGGGGCTTTATTATCTGGATGTGCCTCGTCCTTCAGTAGCATGCTCTCTCACAGAATCTCCACAACTTATCCACAGTCGCCTTGGTCATCCAAGTCTTTCAAAGTTGCAGAAAATGGTTCCTCTTTTGTCCGGTCTTCAGTCTTTAGATTGTGTGTCATGTCAACAAAGGAAGCATACACGCTCCTCTTTTGCCAGTCGAGTCAATAAACGAGCTGATGCCCCTTTCTCTCTTGTTCATTCAGATATCTGGGGTCCAAGTCGTACCTTGTCTGTCTTAGGTTTTCGGTATTTCGTTACCTTTATTGATGATTTCTCCCGTTGCACTTGGACCTATTTAATGAAAAATCGTTCCGAGTTATTTTCCATTTATAAAAAGTTTTCTACTGAGATCCATACTCAATTTGGTGTTTCTATTCGTATTCTACGTAGTGATAATGCTAAGGAATATGTTTCTATTGATTTTTCTAATTTCTTGGCCACACAAGGTACTTTACATCAAACTACTTGTCCTCACACTCCACAACAAAATGGGGTGCCTGAACGTAAAAACAGACATCTTATTGAAACTGCCCGTACCCTTCTTATTCATATCCAGGTTCCCCTTCACTTCTGGGCAGATGCTGTACTCATCTCTTGTTTTCTCATCAATCGCATGCCTTCATCTGTGCTCCACAATGACATTCCTCATAATCTATTGCTTCCAGATGTTCGTCTTTATCCTCTAACTCCACATGTCTTTGGTTGTACTTGTTTTGTTCATGATCTCACTCTTTGTAAGGATAAGTTAACATCCAAAGCCTTTCAGTGTATCTTTCTTGGTTATTCTCGTCTTCAAAAGGGTTATCGTTGTTATTCTCCCGACCTTAAGCGTTACTTAGTTTCCGCTGATGTCACTTTTCTTGATCAACAACCCTTTAATTCTATCCCATCTCAGATGTCACAGGTTGATCATGTACTTCCTGTCCCTTTTCTTGACTTGTCTTTGCCAGCTGCAGGTGCTTCTATTCCAGATGAGCAACCTATTGCTTCTATACGTGAGGACCGTCCACTTCTCACCTATCAGCGTCGCACAACTGTGCCTCCTGTCGACTCGACTCTTGCTGACTCATCGCCCACTGCTGTTGCTTCTTCCCCTCCGGATCCTTCATCAGAGACTCTTCCCATTGCTCAAAGAAAAGGTACACGTACTACTCGTAACCCTTATCCTCTTTATACCTTTTTGAGTTATGACCGTCTTTCTTCACCTCATTTCACCTTTGTTTCTAGTCTTTCTTCTATTTCTATTCCTAAGACCACAGGTGAAGCACTTTCCCATCCAGGGTGGCGCCAAGCAATGCTTGATGAGATGATTGCACTTCATTCCAATGGCACTTGGGACCTTGTTTCTGCTCCTCCAGAGAAGTCTATAGTTGGTTGTCGCTGGGTTTTTACTGTGAAAGTTGGACCTGATGGCCATATTGATCGTCTCAAGGCACGTTTAGTTGCCAAGGGTTTTACTCAAATCTTTGGCCTTGATTATAGCGATACATTTTCTCCGGTCGCTAAGATGGCGTCAGTCTGCCTCTTTCTTGCCCTTGCTGCTGTTCGTCACTGGCCACTCCTTCAACTTGACATCAAAAATGCCTTTCTTCATGGTGATTTACAAGAAGAAGTTTACATGGAGCAACCACTTTTGTTGCTCAGGGGGAGTCTGGAAAGGTGTGTCGTCTTCGGAAATCCTTATATGGTCTCAAGGAGTCTCCTCGAGCATGGTTCAGTCGCTTCAGTTCTGCTGTTCAGGCGTTTGGCTTAATCCGCAGTAAAGTTGACCATTCTGTGTTTTATAGGATTACATCTCCTGATAAGTGTATCTATTTGTTAGTCTATGTTGACGACATCATTCTCACCGGAAGTGATCAAGACGGAATTCGTCAGTTAAAACAGCATTTGTTTAGTACATTTCAAACAAAGGACCTTGGGAAGCTGCGTTACTTCTTGGGAATTGAGGTGGCGCAATCCAGACAGGGCATTTCTATCTGTCAAAGGAAACATGCCTTGGATATCCTAGAAGAAACTGGTATGTTGGGGAGTAAACCAGTTGATACACCTATGGATCCTAATGTCAAGTTATTGCCCGGACAGGGGGAGCCGTTATCTGTTCCTGGACGTTATCGGAGGCTAATTGGGAAGCTCAACTATCTTACTGTGACTAGGCCAGATATTTCTTTCGCTGTTAGTACGGCTAGTCAGTTTCTTGATTCCCCTTGTGATTCACATTGGGATGCTGCTGTGAGGATCCTCCGATACATCAAAGGAGCACCAGGAAAAGGTTTGTTGTATTCAGATCAGGGAAATATAGAAATTTGTGGTTATTCAGATGCTGATTGGGCAGGATCACCCTCGGACAGGCGCTCTACTTCTGGCTATTGTGTCTTCTTTGGAGGAAACTTAATTTCGTGGAAGAGCAAGAAATAACCTGTTGTTGCTCGATCTAGTGCAGAAGCTGAGTATCGTGCAATGTCAAATGCTACCTGTGAGTTAGTCTGGTTAAAGCAGTTGATTCAGGAGCTTCATCTTTGTGAACAGAAACAACCCATGACACTCATCTGTGATAATCAAGCTGCGCTATATATATCCTCTAATCCTGTCTTTCATGAGAGGACCAAACATATAGAGATTGATTGTCACTTCATTCGAGAAAAGATTCAGTCAGGAGAAATCAAGACTGCTTTCGTCAACTCCTCTGATCAACTAGCGGATGTTTTCACTAAAGCTCTTAGAGGTCCTCGGGTTGAATACATTTGTAACAAGCTTGGTGCTCATAATATATACGCACCAGCTTGAGGGGGAGTGTTAGAATATTAGATATGATATGATTAGATTTGATTAGATATGATTGGATTCCGTCTTATCCGTAAATATTCTGACTGTATTAGGATTAGGTTTGGGCCTTTCACTTAAGCCCATTAGGGTCTCTATATATTGTAACTCTCTGACACAGATCAATATACAACATATTATTTTGTATTCAAGTGTTACTGTGTATGCATCCTGAATGCCTCGTATTGGATATTTAAGCCTGTACCAAAAGAACAACCTTAGGATTGGTGGTTAGGAAATACCACAGTGATGATCATGAAAATAATGAATAAAAGCATCTCTTGTGGCTTTTTTAAAATTGATGGGGCTTAATTGCCAAAATTGGAAGTTAAGGATCCTGTGCACTTTCTTTGATGATAACTAAGTTTTCAAGTGTGCAGGTGTGGCCCAAGATAATAATTGCAAAGTAAAACAAGAAACAAGAATAGTTTTTATATCAAAAAAGGGGAACAATATGGTGTGAGTAGAGAGTAGCTTTGTGACATGTTGAAACACAGCCGTAATGTTGTGATGTGTGTTACTTGTATTGTTGTCTCATATATGCCTGAAATGCCACTCACCTCTAGATGTGTTAATATCTATGAACTCTATTATTTTCAAGGAAAATCAACGAACTGTAATTCTTTCCTCGAGTGCATCCTATCCCTGATCTGAAAAGATAAGTCTATCCATTTTCAGAACACAGTCCAAGTCGTGAAATAATAAAACTAATATGCAGATTCCTTCTAGGGAAATTTTATGTTTGAGGTACGTAATGATAGTGGTGGGTGTTACGAAAATATTATCGGTGAGAGAAATATTAATTTTGACATTTTTTATATAGATAAATTATGACACTCCAAGCAATTAACATAGATTATCCTCCAGCTCTTGTTCTTTTTTTATTGCGTTTAAATAATTTTTTTCCCTTGATCTGTAAAGTTGAAAGTATCATGATTTGTACTACTAGATGTAAGACTATATAATCAATTCCTGAACAGGTAACTCCTGTGACAAAACCTAAGCATATTGAGAAAGTGGAACCTGTGGAACCACACCCTCAAGCTGGAACTTCAAAGCAGACTACTGGTACAGCTGAAAATTCCCCTCCAAAAGTTGACTTTGCTACAGACCTTTTTGACATGTTGTCCATGGATGGTCCAAGTGAAACGGGCTCAGGGGAAGCTGGTGCTACTACTGATGATAATAACTGGGCAGGCTTTCAGTGTATGTTTTATAAATATAACATGGAAGCACAAAAGAAAGCTTTTCCAGACATTGTTTTTGAAGAATTGAAGAAGCTTCTTTCATTGTGTTGTGTTTGACTTATGTTATAATTTTTTGCTATAATTGTTTCAGCTGCTGCAGAGGCATCAACAGCCGAAAAGACTGATGCCATGAAAGCAGTTGAGAGTACACCCCAGTCCACATCTGGAATTGAGGATCTGTTTAAAGATTCACCTTCAGCGACCCCAAGCTTAGCTCCAGAAAAACCACAAAAAGATGTAAAAAATGATATCATGAGCCTCTTTGAGAAGGTATGTGTCAATGCTTCAACAGGTTGGTTTAAGACTGTGAGTTCCTTCTTTGACTTGATATGCTTGGTCTTATATATATGTATATATATTGTGTGTTGTTATTTGAGCATTGCTTTTTTTCCCTATGTATGAGTTATTATCCAAGAAACTACACCAAGTGAATTTAGTTGATCTCTATCCTCAGATGGGTTGTTATTTTGGTATGTCAACAAGATTTTACCTGACCCAGTAAATTCGATACCTGCAGACCGATATGGTGTCTCCATTTTCTATGCATCAACAGCAGCTGGCCATGCTGGCACAGCAACAGTCTCTTCTAATGGCTGCTGCAGCCAAGTCTGCTGGTGGGGATTCCAAGTATCCTGCTAGTGTACACCCGCAGCTGGCCATGCTAGCACAGCAACAGTCCCTTCTGATGGCTGCTGCAGCTAAATCTGCTGCTGGGGATTCCAAGTATCCTGCTAGCTTACAACAACCTGGGTCCAATATGCCTGTCCAAAGTTGGCCAGCTTCTGGCTACCCAATTCCTGGAGTAATGCCCATGGGTGGTCAGGGAGAGTTGCAGAAACTTATTCAGGTAATAATTCATGTAAGCATTAAGTTAATAGTTTAATGATTTGTTCGTATCTAAACAGCAATTTATTTCTCTTCTTCCTTCTGGCTTCTGGGTTAGACGATGAACATGACTGCAGCGCATCCAGCAGGGAGCTCGGTTCAGTATCCACCATCTAGGTACACCCCTAATTTCTGACTTTGTGTACTTAAGCCTATTTAATTTCAGTTTGGATATGTAATAGGGATTGGCTTGAATGTGACCTGATCTGGCTGCATAGAATTCTGAATAATCTTAGATCGATATTGGTCCAAACTGCCAATCAGAAGGAGCCATGGTTCCACAAACCAAAATTAATGAGCTACGTGTGGAATGCTGTGCTAAAAGGCTATTTAAGGGGGTTCTTTTTCCATTATGGATTTCAAAAGATGATCCTCTTCTGAAAAATTTTCCTTTCATGGTTGAGGACTAGTGTCATTAGCGTTGGAATAATTTTCATATTAATCAACTGCTGGTTTTGCTGTCCCATCCCTTATGCTACTTAAATTTGAGTGCGAATCATCTCATCCTGAAAGCATGCCATTGAGACAGTCTTTTGTTTCAAACATTTCTTACAAATTTACCAGTATTATTGGTTGGGAAGATATAGCATCGTTTGCTTAAGATTATGATACATATAGGGCATTAATCTACAAAACTAAACATCTTATAGTCATCTATCTATATTGCACATTGTTTGTACATGATCTATAGTTCTATATAATGACGTGTTTCATCCCAAATATATATATATATATATAGGATCCTTTGACACCGACGTCAAACTTTTTAGTTTGACACCAAATCCTAACCGTTGATTTCCGCCAATCAACAGTTATAATTTATTGCGAATTAGTAATTAATTAATAAGTTTGATACAATAAATTATAACCGTTGATTGGCGGAAATCAACAATTAGGATCTGGTGTCAAACTAAAAAGTTTGACACTGATATCAAAGGTATATATATATATATATATCTGTTGATTTCTTCTTTATTTATCCTTATTTTTTATAGTTAACAAGGTTACCATTTGTTGCAGCTTCTATACTATGGGGCAAGTTGCTCCAGTAAATGGTATGATGACAACGGGAGTGAGTAAAGCTGAGGCAGCAGCTCCGGTATCATCAACCACTTCACAGACGGAGAAGGAATATGACTTTTCCTCTTTAACCCAAGGAATGTTTGCGAAACACTGATTGGCCTTTGCTTATTCCCGGCTGTGTCATATATCACAGGAGATTAGTTCAAATTACAGTAAAGTACACTTTCTTTTTTTCTTTCCCCTTACCTGTCCTTGGGTTGTAATCCATTTCTAAAGCTACTGAGCTAGTTCAGTTTTTTCCTCCTTGTTGGTGATTGCTTCATTTGTATCATCGATAGGTGTATTCACAATAAAATTTAGTGATATTATTTATTCCTTTTTTTCTTCTTCTATATTACAGGTAGTTGGTCTTTCACTGCATTAAACAAATATGTTCAAAATTTACTTTGGTAATTTTTTTATTTTATAGTATTCAAATGATAATGTTGTCTAATAATTATTTAAAGTGTTATTTAAATATATAATAATTATTTAAAGTGTTATTTAAATATATAATAACCGAGTTATATTTACAACTCCTTTTCGCTTATAATTTTTCATAATTAAATCTTAATTGTTGATTTTTACTAATCTAATGATTATATTTTAGGGTTTAAGTTTTCTTATGTTGTAGGATTGTAGGAGAGAAAAAAAAATAGAGAGAAGTTAAATGTGGGTCCCATATTTTATATTTAAAAAGAAAAGAAAAATTAATTGACACGGAAAACGAATTTGTGTAGGAAAATGATTTACTCTCATGTAGCATGAGAGTATTATTTCCCTATATTTTATTAGGTTATATTTATTAATTAATTATTAATTTCTAATAAATTATAACTGTTTTATTGGTGAAAATAAGTGATAAAGATTTGATTGTAAGAGATTGTAAGTTAAAAGAAATTGTGAATATAACTTCTCTCATATAATAAAGGGAAAAATGTGTGTCATTTTAAAGGATGTAAAATTGTGTCATTTTCATTTACCAAAAGAAAAAAAAAACTTGTGTCATTTTCAATGAGAGAAAGAGATAGATTATGGGGGAGAGAGAGTTGACAAAAAAATAAAGGTGTGGGTCTCATTTCTTTATGAGAGTGAAATGACATAAGTTGTGTCATTTTAAAGGATAAACACTTTTCTCTATAATAAAAGGGTGGCCAAAATGACTTAATTGTCTTTAAAAATGTTGGCTTTAATGGTGATACAAATAGAAGGGCTTTTTTACAAGATAGGGGTTCTTGACCTTTAAATGTACTAATTTGGTATCTCATTGGGATATTTGGTATCTCGATGGGATATATTACCGTTTGGGGTCTTCAAGTTTCGCGCGCGGGGGGGGGGGGGGGGGGGGGTTGGGGGGGCTAATGGGTTTGAGTTCTGCACTCCTTTCCCCACAGAACTCAAGTTTTTTTTCTCTTTTCTTTAGGTGAGTGTCGCAACCCTCTTTGGGGAACTAATAGGGGGGGTGCCAAGTGGCATACTCTTGGCCTTTCACTTATTCCTTGTTCCCCTTTCATTCATTAAAATACTAAACACTACTCATTAACCCCTAAATATAATGTAAAATTTCTATATATTATTAATCACACATGCCTACGTTAGGATAAAAAAAGAATTAATTTTAAAAATTATAACAACAATTCACTAATTCATTAATTTAAAAGAAGGGTTCGTATTTTCTGTCGTCAATGTAGATAAATCTACATTGAGCCTAAAATGACGTCGTTTTGGAGCAGAAATCATAGTATTTTTATAATTATAAGTTATTTTGAAGTTATAATTGTAACATCCCGAGCGCTGACGAGGGCGGGGAGTGATCGCCGGTGCAAAGAGGCACGGACAAGGAGCGGCTCCTGACAGGCTTCCAGCGAGGGGTTACATGCATGAATGAATCGAATCGACACCCGAAAGAGAGGGATTCCAAAGGCTGTGTAGGTATAAGACTGCACAGTTTGGGATAACTTATAAAAATTAATTGGTACTACTTATGCTAACAAGATGCATCTATTTTTCGGTAGCCCGGAACAGAAGAACTTCATAGTTAAGCGTGCTTGACTTGGAGCAATTCTGGGATAGGTGACCTGAGAAGTTTTCCAGGAAGTGTGCGAGTGAGGAAAAAGCACACTGAAAAGTCTCGTGTTAGTATGTGGGGATAGTCATTGATTTTTGAAGCGGTCGGGCGTTACAAGTGGTATCAGAGCAGGGCCTCTCATCCAGTACTGTGTGGTTCGAGGACGAACCTGACGGAAGCTGGTGGGCATGTAACATCCCGAGCGCTGACGAGGGCGGGGAGTGATCGCCGGTGCAAAGAGGCACGGACAAGGAGCGGCTCCTGACAGGCTTCCAGCGAGGGGTTACATGCATGAATGAATCGAATCGACACCCGAAAGAGAGGGATTCCAAAGGCTGTGTAGGTATAAGACTGCACAGTTTGGGATAGCTTATAAAAATTAATTGGTACTACCTATGCTAACAAGATGCATCTACTTTTCGGTAGCCCGGAACAGAGGAACTTCATATTTAAACGTGCTTGACTTGGAGCAATTCTGGGATGGGTGACCTCCTGGGAAGTTTTCCCAGGAAGTGTGCGAGTGAAGAAAAAGCACACTGAAAAGTCTCGTGTTAGTCTGTGGGTCGAGCGTTACAATAATAGTATTTTTCATTATAATTTGTTAATCTTTCAACCAAAACGACGTCGTTTTGGGAGTATATATAGATAATAACTTATCTACATTCACTGCATAAACATTAAAGCCTTAAAAGAAACTCTAAATATTAATCAACATATTTTTACTGCAACAAAATTATTACTATGCAGTAAAAATAGTAATTACAAAATTACTATTTTTACTATAACAAAATTACTATTTAGATGCATAGTAATTATTCTTCGTTTATTACTATTTTTACTGGAACAAAATTATTTCTCGTTTATTATTATTTTTATTGTAACAAAATTAGAATAATGATATTTTTGCTTCAACTTCACTCTTTATTTTTGAGTAAATACCCTTTTTGATCCCTAACAAAAAATACGGTCCCCACTTTAGTCCCTTACAAAAATAAATTAGTCAGTTAGTTCTTAACAAATTTAAGGTGAACCTATTTTAGTCCTTTTGAGGGACTAATATAGGTCATTTTTTGAATTTGTGATGGACCACGATTTCAACTAAATGGGTCCACTTTGAATTTGTTAAGGACTAACTGACTAATTTATTTTTGTAAGGGACTAAAATGGGAACCGTGCTTTTTGTTAGGGACTAAAAATGATATTTACTATTGATTTTTTAATGTTTAGTGGATAATAAGTAGTGTTTAATATTTTAATGAATGAACAGGGGAATAAGGAATGAGTGAAACGTTAGGATTGTGCCACTTGGCACACCTATGTGAGTTCCCCGGGAGGGGGTGCAGTACTAAATGACCCCATTGATACATACCAAAAATTAAATACCAGAAAAGAAAATTAAAGGGGGTAAAAACGCCTGTTTTGTGAAAGAGCCCAAACGAAAGTATGAGAAACTGACTCTTAAGATTTATTAAAATTTTTAGTGGAAAATATTTATCTGGTCACTGAATATAAAGTTATCTCCAATGAACTTAAAACGACGTCGTTTTAAAACTATAAGATTAAAAATTTATAATGATAAAGATTAATATAACCCTGCAATATAATAAATGATACATGAAATTTGTATAGATCGTACAAGTTTCAGATTGAGCTGGATGCGGTATTTCTTTTTATCTTTAGTGCTTGTAATGAATGTGCCTCAACAGCTTATTGATAGGCCTTAATGTGTCATCGAAACCAGGAATAACTGGAATTTTTATACCTTAAAAGAGAGCATGCTAGTTTGGTCATTGTCATTATAATTATAATTTTTTTTGCTTGGTTAAGTTAATGAAAGGTCCAATGCAGCAAGTTTCCTACCAATATAGGTTTTGTACACCAAATTTGGCTAGGAAGAAACTTGGACCAAGTTTCAGAGTATCATACAGTATATTCGATTACCTTTTCATGTTTGACCAAGATTCTTATATGTTTCTTAAAATGGATTTTTCTTCCTCCAAAAGCACCTCGACCCTTGGATCTACGTTGATCTGGAGGAAGAATTGGGGATGTGGTATGCAATAAATCTCATATTTGAATTTCTATTTCAATTGAGTACTTGTATAATATATATATATATATATATATATATATATATATATATATATATATATACATTGAACTGTTCAGGTAACAGGTCCCGGCGAGTTAAGAGCCAAGAGATTTTCTACATGGCCATTGTGGCTGGGAACAGTCTATCTAAGAAAGTATACATACCACCTCCTAGCAGCATTGCTCCGCTGTGGGACAAACGAATTGTAAGATGCATCAGAAACATGGAAAATATAAGAAATCCGATTAGGAAGTGAATACTCTTGAAACTAGAAAATAATCAAAGAGTAAGAATGATATTGTAGAAGGAAAACATAAGTGTACCCACTATGTGCTAATTAAAAGTTGCAACAATTACCTAATAGGATTGATCCATGCAGAGAACTTGCGAAATGAAAGCAGGCTCTGTCAGTATAGATTTGAATCAGAAATAGTGTTTTCCATGAGACATCCTTTTTCTAAAAGGAGGATGTTTAAGGTTAATCTATAAAACTGAAAAAACATGTATGAACCTGTAACGCTCCAGCGAAAGAAGCAGCCAAGAGTAAGGGAGAAACATAACCAGTTGTGTAAGTCAAAAGTAAGCTTCCTCCAATCACTGGATCCTGTTAAGAAATCATTGTTTCCTTCATCATTAGCATAAGAGTGACTAAATATGCAAACTGAAAAGCAAATAGACAATCAAAATATCATGCAATGATGTACATATATTGTCACGAGTCCCACATTGGTTGCCCATACAACCAATATAGGGTTTATAAGGCCTTGGGCACTCCCACCTTTTGAGCTAGCTTTTGGGGTGCTGACCTAAAGGTCCGTAAGAATTGGTGCTTTTGTTGAGAGCTAAAGTCACGGAAAGAGCTACCTATAAGCTGGATTAAGGTGTTATAACTCCCAAAGGAATGTTGCACTGAATACTGATAGATGAGTGAAGCCGCCAAAAGAAAAAGGGCTACCACCATGTTAGTGTCGATAGAGTGAAAGCCGCTATGGTCATCGGCCCTTAAATGGGTGGCAATGATACGAGTCCCACATTGGTTGCTCATACAATCAATATGGGGTTTATAAGGTCTTGGGCACTCCCACCCTTTGAGCTAGCTTTTGAGATGGTGACCTTAAGGTCCATAACATATATCAATTAAGCATCCCTTCTACTTTGACATTTTGCACAACTACATGATCATATATTTGATGCATCATTAAGCCATTTGTCATGGGGCAATGGGAAAGCAGATATCCTAAAGTTTAAACTTTAAATCTTAAAACATAAGTTATTTAACACATTAGACCCCTCTCAGTTTTTTAAACTGACTAACTGAAACTAATGAGCAAATAACATTGTTTTTCCTTTAGTTCTTTTGCCAATAGGAAGTACCTTGGATGCAGCAACGTATCCCAAAAGGGTGGCCAGGACAGGTGTACTACAAGGCGAGGCAGCTAATGCAAATGTAAGCCCAGCCAGATATGCTTGTACACCTAAGAGTAGAATTCCTTCATGAGAAATACTTTGTATTCGAATTTATACTGAAAGGACTAAAGTCCATGTAAGAGCATCAACTTACTTGATGGGAAATTCGCAGCTGCTGCACGTGGGTCAAAACCGTCAAAGAAAGAGGGGAGTCGTAATTCAATGATCTGTAAAAAAAATTCAATGTGAATTGCAAACAAAAATGCAGCAAATCGTCTAGTCAAGGAAACTTTCATAGTTGATTAGCTTTTAAAACTTGTGTTAGCGAGTGTCTTATACTAAAAAGCTTAGAACTTAGAAGAATGTCTTCTTCTAAGCACTAGTATGCATCAGACTATCACTGATGAAAAACGATGAAAAACGCACTAAGAGCTGAAGGTAACTAATGTAAAGCATGTCCAAATATTTGAATTTATAATTTGAACATAGTAGCTATGAGTATAAGTAATTGTATCAACAGTTAACTACACGACACTGATATGACAGGCCTAATCCACTATTATTTATTACATGATTTAATGATTTTGTCAAGAGCATGATGAATAAATGGTTCCAAAATGCAGTGAAATAGTGAATAACCCTGCCAACGGAGAGTGAGGTTATGAATGTTGTTGGCGACAAAAGTAAAATAAAACAACAAAGAAGAAAATTAATAGCACAGATTTTCATACCAAAAAAAATTAGCACAAGAACACAGAAGAAGGCTGGAAGTAGTTGTTGTTTGGGGGGGGGGGGGGGGGGGGGGGGAGAGAAACTGTTTCACTACCTCAAGAAGGTTCAGGCCCATTATTACAGCCAAACCAGAAGCAGCCAAAGGTAATCCTTGGCCAATCTGCCCATAAGCCTTTCCTGCAACTGATGCTGCTACACCCAACAGTGCTAATGTGGTGGCAAGACCTAAGGAAAATGCAATGGAATCTCCAATAACCTGACAGGTAGAAGACATGATTATTAGTAAGAGTTCTGTCTGTTTGAGTGTGTCGTACTAGCATGAGAGTCTCAAATAGAATTTATCCAAAAAACGGAATAAATGTGACAAGTGGAGGAAACAATGCACTTTTGAGAAAATTGATATATGAGATACTATGGGTCTTGGTGACTTCCTCATATCTGCAGCTTACTGAACTAAACTCAATGTATATAGAGTACAAATAAAGAATAGAAGGCCTCAAAAGACCAAAGATCCAATCATTTGACAAACAAAGCCTGCTTAAAGAGCAAGGCACTTTGGTTGTAAAATACTGCACATATAAGATCTTTTTGCCTTAGTAAAAACCTAATTGCCTAATGACATTTGCCTTACTATATATGTAATGAACTATAGTAATCAGATAACTTCAATCCTCATATTGAGCAATAAAAAGCGATAAGAATAATGTCACAAAAATAACACAGCAAGTTATTACCTCTGATTTGCTTTTTCCAGAGCCAAATGCCCCTGCCATATTCCAACCAACAAATTCAGGCATATGAAAATGTACTGATGCTGAAAATGCAAAACAACAGCAGGCTTACCAATGTAACCGAGGGTCAGTGGTAAGACACTAAGTGTACAGGGAGAAAGGCTGGTTACAAGCCCTGCCCCATAAATTACTGCCAAACTGTGAATATGAATAAGAAGCAAACAACAAACCATAAACACAAGTTTCCAATTTTCAGGGAAAAAATAGAAACAAAAGAATGTCTAAAGGTATTTATAGTGCACCTAGTGAAACTGAGAGAGGTTAGTTGGTCCTGCACAGCTTCGTTGGCCTGTTGTCCAGCTGTATATAGAAAGCCTCCAAACCACTCACCGAGGCTTCCATCAGCCAAGGCATAAACAGAAGCAGCCATTTCCTGTCTCAAAAGAAAATAATTCTAGTTCGTGAGAGATATGCCAAAACTATGACTTGGATGCATAGTGTTATCATGATTTACAACACAAGAACTGATTTGTACCATTTTAACTATCGAAGGGACATTCGCAGAATAATATCATTCAACAAGCTTTCCTAGTTATCATTGGTTTACAAAAGCTAGCAACTTTAGTTCAATATCACATACGCAAATAAAAGGAAGCAGAAAGAGCCACTGTACTCTCTCCTCAATTTCCTGTTGGTTGCTCAATATGCTAGATTTACTAGACCATTATATATATTGAATGAGTTTACAATAAGAACATATATGTAAGGGCCTTCTGTGTCTTTGATAAAATAGAATATAAAAAACAACTCATAGAATAAACACATCAAAAGGGACATTGGAAAGAGCTAACAACTTAAGAAGATATTGATGCAAAAAGACATAGAAACGCCTCACCAACATATTTATCTGTACTTACAGCTTTTGCAGTGATTGGAGCAACCAAGTTTGCCGCTGAATAAGGATTGAAACAAGAAATATTCACCAATACAATCAACCAATCCCAATCATCCATGTGATAGCAGTGGCATAATTCAGAGAAAAGTTTGAAAAGGGAGAAAGGATCAGGAATTTGACAAAAATGCCAAGCAGCAGTAGGTAAAAGAAGTAGTATGCAGTGACATGTCCTCTAGAACTTGTATGTCACCCAAACAGTAGCAATGGATTCTTCCCAATTTTATTTTACATGTAGAAATTTGAATTAGCCTTGAGGAGAATTATTTATAAGTCACCCAAGCCAAGTTGTAAATATAACCTGCATAAAAGTTGACACTAGCAAGTTCACCCATCCCCAGCAAAGGAAAAAAAAAAATACAACAAAAATGAATTAACAAGTATGTACAAGAGGCCTGTACAGCACAACATTAAGCTTGTTTTGCAAAACAACAAGAAGCCTTATCCCAATAGGAGAAGCACCCCTAAAATGAGATGAAAAGGAATAAAAAAAAGGTTTTATCAGATAACACAGCACCCTGTGATAAATTAAAGAAAGGAAACAAGGTTATTGAAAGGCAATACCTGTCATGGCACCTATGAATGTCAAAATGTTATTGCCATTAATCTTCCACTTTGATTGAAGACAATTGTCAGGTTCAGAAGGCTTTTTGTGCGTATTGATGGGAACAATGTGCTTGCCTATAACCAAAAAAAAGAAAGAAAGAGCATACCATGTTTTAGATTTTCTTCAAAAAACTGTGAACTAAATGTTTACAATGTGTAATGAAATAATTGGGAAATGGCAACTACATTGTTCCAATGATAAAAACACGAATAACCCATGAGTAGTCTTCCATGCTATCTTTATTTCACCAAAAATGAAACCATACACAGCCAATAAAAAATATAACACATCTTAAAAAGGAAAAAAAAAAACATAAACATTAACAAAATCAGCAATTTTTTTTCTTTAAAAAATAAAAGTAATGAAAAATTCTCCAATTATGATCAACATGGAACTTAGAAGACTCACCGGGACGGCTATCCCGGTCAGGATTGCAGTTTGCAATTCTGAAACATTGAAGCCCAAGACCATAACTGCATGAGTAGCTCATACTCAAACTCATCTGAATTTACAATGAAGATTGAGAAAAAAAAAAAAAAAACAATAATTGTAGTTAGCTTTTGAAGCCCAAGCTCAAAATTAAGAGTTTATTTTCCACTCACTCACCTCACCGTTTTCACCACTTTCTTGGCAACCAAACAGAGACTTTCTTACCGTTGGAACACGGAACTGTTGGGATTTGCAAAAATCCAATCCTCACGAATTGAGTTGTGGCGGTTATCTGTGTTTCGTTGCTTCCTTGAGATGCTTAAATTTGACTAGTTTAATATATATATATATGAGTTCACTGTTTCTGCAGAGTTACTGCAAATAAGTTATCTGCACTAAGCTCAATATGACGTTGTTTTGGGGCGGAAATCAATGGTATATTTGTAATTTTAATTTATTTCAGGGTTATAATAGTCTTTATATTTATAATTTTTTAAGATTTTAATATCAAAACGACATCGTTTTGGGAATAAATGCAGATAACTTATCTGCATTACTTGTAGAAACATTTTTTCTCTCTCTATATATATATATATATGAGGCGGGATCCTTTGACACCAGTGTCAAATTTGAAATTTGACACCTCGTCTGAAAGTCATTATATCAAAAAAGATAACGGCTCTGATTTGTAAGCATGTGACACTATTAATCTTTTTTGATCTAACGGCTCTCAGATGAAGTGTCAAACTTCAAATTTGACACTAGTGTCAAAGGATCCTACCTATATTTATATATATATATAGGTAAAATCATTTCTGCATTTAATATTTTTTCACATTTAATGTTTTCATCTTTTGTATGGTTATGATTTTTCACATTTAATGTTCTCATCTTGTGTATGGTTATGATTTCCCGCATTTAATGCTATCAAGTATATATATGGCAAGTATTTGATTGTTGCACGTACAACAACTGCAGAAATGTAAATCCCATATATATATAACAGCTGCAGAAATGTAAATCTCATATATATATATATACATATGAAAAAATATTTCTACTGTCATTTTAGATAATGTTATCTACAGCTATCTCAAAAACTATGTCGTTTTGATTAATGAAGGGTGTTTCTGTAATTTTAGGTGAATTAGTGAAGGGTGTTTCAGTAAAATGTATAGGATAAAAGAATAAACAAAATTACACAAACACCCTTCATTAATTCACCTAAAATTACAGAAACACTCTCCATTAATCAAAACGACGTAGTTTTTGAGGTAGCTGTAGATATAACCTTATCTAAAGTGGCTGTAGAAATGTTTACCCTATATATATATATATATATATATATATATATATGGGTTTATATTTCTGCAACTATACGTACAACAGTGAAATATTTGCCATATATATACGTGAAAACATTAAATATGGAGAATTATAATCATACATTTGTCCTTACTGTACGCAAGTAGAAATAATTTTATCATATATATATATATATATATATATATAGAGAGAGAGAGAGAGAGAGAGAGGTAGGATCCTTTGACACCAGTGTCAAATTTTAAATTTGAAACCTCATCTGATAGCCGTTAGATAAAAAAAGATCAATGACTCTGATTTGTAACCATATGACACCATTAATATTTTTTGATCTAACGGCTATTAGATGAGGTGTCAAAGGATACTACCTCATATACATATAGATATAGATATATATATATATATATATATATATATATATATATATATATATATATATATATATATATATATGGTCCTCAACTTCTCTCATTTTAAGAATCAACTTCTCCTATGGTTATAAAGAACCAACTTAACCCAATATCTTAAATTATTAGAGCTTTTTTAATGGCTTATTATTCTTTAACACGAAGAAATTTTGTGCGGAAAATAATTCTAATTATGTACTACGGGTAATATATAGTTGTAATATTAAAGGTATTTTTGTCTCTCCGCCACGTCAATTGACAGCCTTATGAGAAGAGAAAATAAATAAATAAAGATAAATTCATTTCTATATCCTGTATGATTATGATTCTCCACATTTAATACTTTCACTTTTTATATGTTTTATATAGTTATGATTCCTCGTATGCAATACTTTCACATAATATATATATATGACAAGTATTTGACTACTGCACGTAAAGCGGCTGCAAAAAAATAGAATAAAAAAATAGCTTTTAAAATTGTTAGTACAATGTAGTGCATAATTACAATTGGTTGCTGCACAAAATTTCTTCGCAGAAGAAATAGATTCTCATACATATAACTTTTAAATCATTGTTTTTTTTTTAATATAACTATTTAGAATTAAGAAGTGTGATTATTATGATATGTAATATGTTTTTTAAAATCACTATTTCGTGCAGCTTAGCTATTCTAGGTGCTGAAATCATTGTTTGAAGTAAAATTGCTATTCTTTTATAAATACTCATTATTCAAATGGTAATTTTGAAAAACAATATTTGATCCCAATCTATCAAAATTAAAACTCTTACACTTTGGTTGGATGACAAATTAACAAGTTTTCTTGTTCAGGAGCTTAAAAATGATAGGAAGTGGAAAAAAAAGTAAAGAAATTTATTTTATCTCTCCTTTCTTCTTAAACCCATTTTTACTTTTTATTTTTTAAAGATTAGGGTGGAATTAAGAATTATAATGGTTCTGTTTTGTCATTTTATGATTGAAAATTATGGAATCTCATTTTGTTCTTAATTTAACTTCTCCATAGGCTCATAATTTAACTTCTTCTTCTTATTATTATTGTTATTATTCAAACATAAATATAGAAACATGGAGAGAGTGACTTGAGTGGTATGTTTTGTATTAATGTAAGGAATCGTGTTCAATCTTCCTTTAACCCTACGAAAGCTAAGTACTAAAAAAAATAAGACTTAAAACGAATAACTTCTTCTTCTTCTTCTTCTTCATTATTATTATTATTATTGTTATTATTCAAACATAAATATAGAAACATGGAGAGAGTGACTTGAGTGGTATGTTTTGTATTAATGTAAGGAATCGTGTTCAATCTTCCTTTAACCCTACGAAAGCTAACTACTAAAAAAAATAAGACTTAAAACGAATAATTTCAAGAAATAAAATAATTATCTGAATGCATAAAAAAAATTATGTTTATACAATAAAATACTAAAAGAGAGCTATAAAAAAAAAAAAAAAATTGATCGAAAATAAAATGGTATTAATCTCCCACAACTGTTAATAGTCACGTCAGATTATAAGCAAAACGCTCCAATAACTAAAAAAAAAATTCCTTAAATTTTAATTGTATACCACTCGCATCCAAAGAAAAAAGAGAACCACTCTTAAATATGAATTAAAATTCTCATTATATTTAAATTTATTGGAAAATAATTCATTCAATAAAAAGATAGAATATCCTACGCCAAAGTTCAAATCTCAACGTAAGGCCCTACAATTTTTGACACTATTATACCTATATTTACATTTATGATCATGTCAACCTACAAATTAAAACTAAAAATTTACTGAATAATATGATACCAGAAAATGTGCTCCCAAGTAAAACCTCTCTTAATTTCATGATGCTGCTCGAACTCGACCAGACTGTAGAACAAACAGTCCTATACAGAAACGAGATATAGGATTTTCGTTGCCCTTATGTTCAACACAAAATACTTCAGTTTCTCTCCACCCCATGCGTTTTACTATGTTTAAGGAATTGATATCTATCAACATAATGACAAGGAAACATGACTGATTATCAATAAAAGCTTGGGTGATCTCTGAAATTAAAAAAATAAAATAAAATAAAAATTATATCTTCCATTCGGGCGTTTTCATTTGTCTGCAGTTGCATCAATCTTGGGTAACTAATACTCAAATATCATGAAGGAAATCAATTCAATGTTCCCAGACAAAAAGTACATGATTTAATCTAACATCAGATAGTTTGAACAATCATATCCTTGTTTTATCAAATCCAAGAACTCAGTCGCGCTCGCTTATTGCAGTCAAGTGCTCATCTATCTCCTCCGTGGATAAAACTCTAAATACTGGATTCTCCTTCTGCACCACTCCAACCTAGAAGACACAAAATACAATCATTTGCATCAAATCAGAGAAGAAAAAAGTTTTTGTTGGCTGGCAATAATCATAAAAACTTTAATCATACCTAACCTATAAATCTGGAACAAAAATGTCAACACACTGATTCATGCCACAAGCAAGCATGTAATTTCAAAATAAAGAAATAATTTACTTCTGGAACAGCTAATATCCCAATCAATCCTCCATTTCATATACCAATCTGTTTCAGTTATTGATCATCCACTTAACTACGCACTAGAATCTACAACCATTTGGAACATGACAGGAACTGAAATTAGATTCTAGACTATTATCTATTCATAATCTAAGAGTGACACTAATGGAATAGTTAGACTCATAGTGAAAGAAAAATGTTCTGGCCTGAGTTGCCTAACATGAAAACAAAAGCCTTGCTCAGATAATTGAGTTCTCAAGGGAAGGTAGTAAAGGCAAACACTACGCAGCATGACAAAAATGCATGGCTATCATTTAATGAGAAAAGTAACTTGCAGACAATCTTTAAAATCATAGACAATTATTGATTTGGCTCTTCAGGGACTAAACAAGAATTTAAAAAATTAAATTAAATTATTTTACCAAATTTCAATTGACATGGTGTTGTATAATGGCATTTGGGCTCTAAAAATAAAGTTCTACCTCTATCTCAGTGGCCTTGAAGTCCTCCTGAAGAACTGATTGCAAGGCAGAAATGGCAGTCTGAAAAAAAGCAGGGAAATCTTAGAGTTAGAACCTCTTCAATTACAATATAGCATCTTTTAAAGTCTCATGAACAAAAACCAGTTACTGTTTGTGAAATAACACAGTTAAGAAATTATCGCCCACTTGAATGAAAATAGAAAGAAGGGCAACAATAAGGCTGATTGTAATATTCACGAAACCAGTGATTATGTGTTAACGTCATAACTAATATAATAAGTTACAGTTTTAATGAGGATCCAAAGGTATATAAGTTTGTTGCCTCCTTCATTAGCACTCATATTTATCAGGCTTTTCACCTTTCAAAAAAACACAGCCAATCTTCAGCATCCAGGTATATTCAATATTTTATTCAATAACTTTCATTCAGACTAATAATTATAGAATATAATAGCACAGTAAATATTTATCAAGAAAAAATTTAAAAGAGTTGCCAGAAAAGAAAAATAAAATAAGGGATCAACAATTTATTTGTTTATCCTCAAAAGGAGGAGAAAATCCAAAACGTTGACATATATTCTTGAAGGCACACAAGTTCTCAGCGACAACTAGGTAGTCTACACTTTCCATACCAACAAAAGCCAGCTAAAAGACAGTCAATTTCTCAAGCTAGACAGATGGAACTTCACAATGATACTTGTACCGTTGTACGGAATACTAGAATATTAATTTTAAAGAACACCTACATCTTTTATGCAGAATTTAGCTTGCAAAATAGGAGGGGGAAAAATAAAAAAGAAAGCAAGAATGCTACCTGAACTGTCTCTTCATAGGTAAATGAAGGGTCATTCTTCATCTTCTTTTCCAAGAAATTAATCGCCTCTTGGTCCTTCAATCCAGCACTTGTGGCCTGAGTACATCATAATAGATTCATAGAAACTTTAATTTCTGTCTATAAGCGCATATAATAACAAACAGATTATGAAGGCACAAAGTGATGAAGAAACAAAGAAACACCATCCTTACTCTGAAGCATTTAAAAGGTTCAAAATCAATGTACATCACAATCTATGTGTATAGATTAGAGTAAACTAAAAGATTAAAATAGAAAAGTAATCAGCAAAGCAAACAGAACAAAAAGGTAATCTCTAAGCATTGACCGGAGATGCATAGGCTTCTCAATGTTTCTAGTTCTAGAAAAAGGTAAAATGAGACCAAAAGAGGAAGGGGGAAAGGGAAAATTCAGAATGGGTGAACGCTCATGTTCTTTAACAGGTGATCACGTACTTTATAACACGAGTACATTATAAATGAATAAATGATAATTATTATATCAGCCTTATGATGAGTTCAAAGCTGCTAAAATAATTTCAAAAATGATAAAGCATTAGATTTTTCAACTACAACCATCACCCCCTCCATTATACACCCAATAGCAACTTTCCTCTTTAATATGAGATAGACATTATACTGTGATAAGAATCTTGAGGTACACCACCCCAAAAGCTAGCTCAAAGAGTGGGAGTGCCAAAGGCCTTATAAACCCCACATTAGTTGCCCATACAACCAATGTGGGACTCCAAGTCCCATACCTTGCAAATGGGATCGTAACATTCCACCACGCTCCGCAGCCCCGGCGCCCACACGGGCTGGTTTTGCGCTAGTCTTATACTAGCCCCGGGCGAACATTGCAATGCCGACGTCACCACCTGCGCCGCTCGATTGCAACCGAGAGGCATAGTGGGAGGCTCTGATACCATTTGATAAGAACCTTGAGGTGCACCACCCCAAAAGCTAGCTCAAAGGATGGAAGTACCCAAGGCTTTATAAACCCCACATTAGTTGCCCATACAACCAATATGGGACTCCAAGTCCCATACCTTGCAAATGGGATCGTAACATACTGATAGTAGGATTCTATCATGATAACTTTCCTCAATCAATAATAATTGATATCTTACTCTAGTAATAAAATAAAATGGAATAAACAACTTTAAATATGTAAAAGCAAATAATCTTCTTTTAATCACCCCCAATTCCTCTCTATCATTTTATGATGACATGTGATAGTTTTCAATGCATAACATATTAAAATAGATATATAAAGAATCATAACTTAGAAACTTTTATGGAATATAATTTATTACCGAATGTTAATCAATCAAGTAATAGATGATCATCTATGTACCTTGTGACCAAAGTAATGACCAGCTGGGTCACATTTGTAAAGCTGAGGCCCACATTCGTCATCAATACCCAAGACCATAGCAACTTCACAACACAAAAGATTCAAAATCATACAAAGAGAAATGGCATCAATAATGACAATAAGTAATTGAATTATAAAATGATTGTGATCATACATTAATTATGTGAACTTTCACAGCAGGTGAAAATTGTTCAATGGTGAAAAGTCTACAAAAAACATACCTACTCCAAGGGGCCTCATGTAAGCATGTTGAGTATAGACCTGTGATTTGTCTGCAATCCTGTTGGTGTAAAAGACCACAAAAGTCAGATACAAAGATGTTATTGACTGATTGTAAAAACCTAATATATGTTAACTCAAATACAATATCCTTTGACAAAAGTCAAAATTATAGTCAGATTCAACAGATGAATTATTATGATCAGCTTATAGCATTCTAAGAGCATATGAAGTGTGGAAAAAAGGAATTGCATGTAGTAGCAGAGGCCTAAGAGCACATTCATAGTGCTCAAAACCTTAAATACATGACAAGCATTGACAACTCTAATACTGCAAATAACTATGTTTTCTTCTGCATAAAAAAAAATCCCAGAAGCCATATTTTTTTTTCTATTTACTCCATATTAAATTACTAACTACTTCAAATAAAAATATATAACAACATTGACAAAAATAATGTCACAATTTAGAATGTTTGAGCTAGCAGCCATATTAAGTTACATAGACCTGTTTGATAATCCTTTTAAAGATTTTAGAAGTAAAACCTACCACAAAAAACAGAATATCCAGAAATGACACTGTGCATCCACTCACAGTAATGCAATTGAAAGCAAAAAAGAAAGTAAGTTATAAAGAACTAATGTTAGTACTACAACCAAAAACATTCTGCCACTGCAACAGAAGCAACTAACATTCTTTTCAAGAAATTTAGTTTGGTAAACTAAAGCAGCCCTAGAAATCTCAAGCTCTACAAGTGTCCAAAAAAATATTGTATGCTATCCTTTGGTTGCCAAATACCTTATATGTCTATCACAAAATCTAATCATAATCAGAGCCATTTCCAGTGACTGGGTGAAAATTTGGACATAACTAATACTGCAAAAATGACAGTGAAGCTGGTGTAGAAGTAGAACCACATAGAGAGAAAGAGGGAGATGGAAAAGGAAAGTAAAATCCACTTAACCACTGATGACTTTACTATCAGATTTACAACGAGGGCTGTATATAACTAGCTTGGAAAAGTGAAAGGCAGCGATGAAAAACCTCATTTATCACGTCCAATAAATTCAATCCCTTATAAAACCCTAAATTAAAATTAAATTATCACATCTATTGAAGTAAGTTTTTCATTCTGTTTACTAAAAAAAAAGTTTCTCATTCTCTATCAAGATCCCTATCAGAACCACATCACAAGTGTAAGAAATAGTTGGAAGCTCCAATGGCTTGCTAATATTCATAGGCATTAGGCACAATGGTTCCTAATTTTGGATCTGGTAACAGCGCCTATTTGGAGAGGGAAAAATAATAGTTTCTGGATTGTTTTAGTACATTAGGTGCTGATGACTGAATCATAAGGGTGCAATTGACATTTTCAATATGATTATGGCGGTGGCAACAAATAATAGAAGCTTCCAGTCACACCCCCAATTGCAGAACCGCATGTTATAACATCATGGCCATTGAGACAACAAACTGAAGAGAAGAGGAAAACAAGTTTATGCATTGTTCCAGTACATTAAATAAAGAAGTGGAAGATAACAATCTTCACAACAATATAATGGAAGCTTGCATTGCAGATATGAAACAGAGTAATAAGTAGCTAGTAATAGTTATGGTGGCAAAATATCTTGTTTAAAACTGAACCACTTACCATTTAGCCAATACATCCACGGGCATCTCATATCCATATGTAAAGCGAAACTCAGCTGCTTCATTTCTTGCTTGTTGAACGAGTGTCCTAGCATCAGCTGCAAAGAGGTATTCCAATGGGATAAAGCAAAAGTGAACTTAGGATGTAAGGATATTTTAGTTCAAGATATATCAGTAAACAAAATATTCATTTTCTCCGGCCAAAATCCAAACATTTTTTCATATATTGCAATTCAATTTACAGAAAAACAATATTATCATTGTCTCTGTGAGTCTGTGATCATATGTAAAGTTATCCCTACGCGCAACTTTGACAGTAATATTCAGGTCTAATAGAAACATTTTCTCATAATAAATTATTAACCATATTTTATGTTGGATTGCATAATGACCAGTGATACAATCAACAAGGGCAGATTTGGGAAAATATATGAGAGGAGAAAGAGCAGAGTAGTCCCACATGGACAAGGTGAGTCAGCAGCAACTAATGAAGAAAATTAGTCACACGGACAGCAAGGACAACAAAGCAATAACAGCAAGAGAGTGGTCACGCGTGTAGCACGAAGTTGTTACAAGTTTGTTACAAATAGGAGGAGGCGCATGGGAGTGAAGGATTCTTGGAACTTGGGACTTTTGGGCATCCTATTGGGTGATTAGGGAGAGAACCAGAACCTCTCTAAGTGTTCTGGGTAGTAGTTATTTGTAATCGTTGTGGCTTTGTAATTGTCTCACTGTTGTTTTCATTTTCATACTTGTAATTGCCATTGAAGAATACTGTTGGAGTTAATAGTTTGAATCTGAGTTGATATCAATACTATAAATACATTTACTTCTTTAAATTCCGCTGTCTATTATCTCTGATACCTATCAACCAGCATCCCAAATAAACAATAAGTAGGTACATCTGTCCCAGACGTTTGGCTTCAAAAAGGATCTCTATTTGCCAACGCCCAACACGTAACAATCAACGAGAATGAGAAGCATTATCATATAATCATCATTGCTTTCTTATTTTCCCCTCACTAACAAGCTGCTTAGGTTGATATAAGATTTTTCAAGTCGTACTTTCTATTTTACTATGAGATACAATACAACAAAGAAATTGTCCGAGAGATGCTGCCCGAATTGACTTTCACTGAAAACAGATTTATATTTTAACTGGAAAAGTATGCAAAAAAACTTCATAAAACATCTACAACAAAAGAAACGATGAAGAGATGCGATACAAAACATACCCGTAATGCCAGTTGCCAATAAACCAAGGTACTTTGTGATGGGAAAGAGATGTGTAACACTTGTCTGATCCAACAGTTTGTCCTGCATTGAACATCCAAAACTTAAGCAACCAGCGCAATTACTCATAACAAGCAAAAGAAAGATCTAAGAACCGACTTCTTGTACTCACCGGAACCTTCTTCTGAGTAACGACACAAATCGAATCCTTTCCTCGGACGCCAATTGAGGTGATCCCAGCAGCCTTAACAGCCTTGAAAGCATACTCTGTTTCGCGCATTCAAAAATCCACAACTTAGAACACTAAAGCCTAACAAACTAGTCAACTCATTTCCAAACAAGCACAAGGAAAATTTCATAATGCCATGATGATCAAGGCTCATTTCACTGTTGTGTACTTTTTATTTTTACTTTTACTAATTTCCACTTTCCTAATGCTTTATCAAGTGCAATCCCAAAATAATAATATTAGGAATATGAATTGTGTGACACCCACTCAAATTGAATGAAACCCCACCATTGCAAGCACCAACCTAACTCACTAGTCCACTGTCGATAATTTTAATTTAAATAATCAAAATTAAAGAATGACTAATATTACTAACCCAGTTATGTTATCAAATTTACATAAGAACAATATCTTAAAAACAAAAAGCAAATAAGAGTTAATGTGAGAACAAATTGGGTCATTTCAGTAGGTAAAAGATCTAAAGCCATATTCGAACGATTAAAACGTCACCGTTTGCAAGACGTTCCACTAAAACCAGAAGAAAAAAAACTCAGTTACTGAGACAAGTAACGTACCCACTTGAAAGAGACGCCCCTCGGGGGAGAAAATAGTGATGTGGCGATCGTACCCGCCTCCACTTCCTCTACTCATGTTTTCGGCTTACTTTTTTTTTTCCCAAGGTCTTTTCGGGGATTTCGCGTTTTCTGACGGAGTACAGTGACGGCACTTGCGGTGGTGGACGGCGGAGAGAAGATCGTAATGTAATGGTTTTTCAAAAGAACAAGAAGTGAGTGGAGACTTCAGACTTGAGACGGTGTTTTTCTTCTAAAAGTGTCGATCTCAGCTTCCTACTCAAGAAAAGAACAAATGGGCCGCACCGGCCCCCGAAACCCATCCCAAACCGGTGAACCAGTCCACTGGGCCGATTTATTGTACAAGAATAATTTAAAGAGAATAAAATGAGTTAAAATGGTGTCTTAATTGTATTTTCCCTATTATTCAAAAAAAAAAATGAATTAAAATAAAAAGCTGAAAACCATGATATAAGAAGTAGCATAAATACTAGAGAAGCTGCATAAACACTAGAGAAGCAGCAAAGAGAAGAAGATCCTTGAAAGAATGTGATTTATTACGATAGTCAAGTGGGACCTAACACTTAAAAAAAAAAAGTCAATTCAAATTTTTATGTATTTGCATTGTTTCACTAATAATAGGAGAAACAATTAACTCATACCCTATTCCTTTTGATTTTAAGTTCATAGTACTTTCCGTTCTTTTCTTTTTTTGTAATTTAGGGTTTTTCTATTCTTATATCACATGAGTTGGTATCTCTTATGCTATAGAAATAACAAGTGATGGGTCCATCAGTTGTTAAAAAAATAATAATACGAATTTTGATGTCTCACAATAAGAAATCAATCTCCTATTACATAAGAAAATGACTCTTTAATTTATTCAAAAGTGCTAGCTTGCTCGACAATTTTATATATTGGCAGGGCATGCCTTAATTGGGCATGAAAAATGAAAAATAAAATGTTGTTGTAATTATTAGTAAAGAATAATATTTATTTACACTAAACATGCCTTAGTTTTTCTTTTAAAATTTAAAAAGACTAAATCTAACACTCCTTCTCAAATTCTATTCATATTGTATCAAATGCTAATTATGTCTTGCTTTTGTTAGCTTTCTCAAGCATTTACTGAGCCATAATAGGCTTCTAGTAGGCATTGAAGCCCAACAACTCAATTCACTATTACTGAGCCATAATGGGCTTCTAGCAAGCATTGAATGTCCAAATCAATCGTTTCCCTTTTCCTTTTAATTTTTTTTTTTTTTTTCCTTTTGGTATTGTGTTTTCATCACTAACTAAATTTTTATAGAAGTGTTGGTTTTCACTAAATATTTTAAGGGAGAAGAATTTCTCATGTTGCTAGAGAAATTTTCTCTCTTACAGCACAGACAATATTTAGGAGAGAGAAAAGTGAAAGAGGTGAGTGAAAAAAAAATTGAGGTGGAGTCCACCATTTCTTATGTGCAAATTTTTTTATTCTTCTTATATAAAATGAGAAGTATAAAGCTCATATTTTAAAATTAATAAATGTTTGTCAACTTAACAAAATATTCAACCCTCGCTCAAGAAGTATATATGAACCGTGTGTCATATTGTGGTTACTTTTATATTTCTCATGTATAATATCATTTACCTCAAGAAAAAAAAACTATATTTACACACACAAAAAAATAAAATGACAACTGATCGGTTGCTATCCTACACAAATTTATAAATATATCAATAAATTTTAATAGTGAATTTTTTTAGAATAAACTACCTTTTGGATCCTCAATAAATATCATGGGTTTATTTTAACTTTTTAGAAAAATAATCGACTCGCAGTCCCTCTGAAATTAAAATACATCTATATTAGTTTTTTTTATGGACTAACATGGGTCTTCTTTAAATTTTAAAGAGATCACAGTTTTGACTAACTGAGTCTATTTTAAATTTCAGAGGAACTACAAATCAATTTTTTTTTCTAAGAAATAAAATGAGTCTCATAATTTTTTTTAGGCCTCAAAAGATACTTTACTCAATTTTTTATATAGCTAGCTCTGTTGCCTATATAATTTAAGAACATGGAAAATACTTTCGGCACTGCAGATGCACCGAATATTCGGTATATATTTTTATTAAATATGCACAAAAGTAATATATTTATATTATTTTTATTTTTATAATTATTTCTTTTTAATAAGGAATTATCTACTTTCATTGCACGGAAATATGCTCCGGAAACATGCGGACAAGCAAATAACTTAACTTCAACAGGTCTTAATTGAACTAGCAGTTCTCATTCTTCGTAAACATTACATCCCAAAATATCATGAAAATGAAAAGAAAATAAGTGAGAGAAGTTAGAGGGAAAGAATTATCTCATTCCGAGACAATTCAGAAACTTGTCAGAAATTTCATTTGTCAGGATAATGTTCAATAATTGGAGGCACCTCAGCACATGACAAGAATTTCTTTTATAAAAAGCACAATTAAAGGAATAAAAAGAACGTGCATGCAATAAGAGTGAGACATGGAATAAGTAGCTCATTCTCTCGGTTTTAGGGTATGTATGACAACCATTTTGTTTCCTAGCATTATTTTTGAATAGAAACAATTCTTTTCTATTTCTGTGTCTTGGAACAGTTTATGAGAAAAAAAATATTTTTGATAACATTATCTATTTTTCTTCCGAGAATGAGAATTGTGTTTGATAACTCAATAAATAATATAATAAAAATAATTCCTATTAAACATAAAAAAAATTTGGATCATCACTTTCCTTTCTATATGGAGTGGGCACAGTGGTAATGGTGGTGGCGATGATGGTGGTAGTGATGGTGGTAATAGTATGGTGGTGGTGGTGACAGCAGTAACTGCAATGATAGTGGCGGTGGTAGTGGTGGCGATGGTGGTGATAGTAGTGGTGGTGATGATGACAGTGGCTACGGTGATGATGGTGGTGGTGGTGACGGTAGTGGCTGCGACGATAGTGCAGTGGTAGTGGTGGTGATGATGGTGGTGGTGGTGATGAAAGTGGCTATGGCGATGGTGGTTGGTGACGGTGGTGATGATGGTGGTGATGATGGTGGTGACGGCAGTAGCTGCGGCGGTGGTGGTGGTGGTGGTGGTGGTGATGACAGTAGTTGCGGCGATGGTGGTGGTGGTTGGTGACGGTGGTGGTGATGGAAGTAGCTGCGGCGGTGGTGGTGGTGGTGGTTGGTGACAGTGGTGGCGATGGTGGTAACGGCAGTAGCTGCGGCGATGTGGTGGTGGTGATGGTGGTGACGCCAGTCACTGCGGCGATGTGGTGGTGGTGATGGTGGCGATGGTGGTGACGGTAGTAGCTACGGCGATGGTGGTGGTGGTGGTTCGTGATGGTGGTGACGGAAGTAGCTGGGACGATGGTAGAGGTGGTTGGTGACGATGGTGGTGATGGTGGCGACGACAGTAGCTGCGGCGATGGTAGTGGTGGTTGGTGACGATGGTGGTGATGATGGCGGTGGTGGTAGTGGTGGCGATAGTGGTGGTGGCAGTGGCGTGGTGATGACGATGGTGGCGGTGACGGTGACGATAGTGGCTGCGATGATGGTGGCGGTGGTGGTGGTGACTGTGACGGTGTCATGGTGGTAGTGATGATGGCGGTGGCATCGTCGTGGTGGTGACAACGGCACTGGTGGTACGACGACAGAGTCGACGATGGTGGCGATGGTCGTGTCGGGATGGTGGTGGTGGTGGTGATGATGGTAGTGGTGGAGAGTGATTGAGAGAGACAAATATTTCTCATTTTGTTTCGGGGAACAAAAAAAGCTGAAATTTTTTGATTATTTTTTCTGTTCTGAGGCACAAAAGTTAAATTGGTTATCTCGGGAACAAAAAAATAAATCGATTTTACCAAACGAGTTTTCTATCTATTTCTTTCTCATGAACACCCTTAGTGATTTTGGGTCCGTTTGAAATCTTTTTTGAAAAACATTTTTTTTAATTTTTCTTAAAAAAAAATTCATTTGATAAGGTCTATTTTATAAAAATAAAAATTATAACTATTTTTTTGTTTTTAGAATCAAATTTAGAGAACATAACTTGTTTGATTGTGTTATGATTTTTTTGTTCTTAAAATTGTTTTGTAAAATAATTATGGAAACAGTTGTTTTCTATGCTTGTTTTATTTTGAAAGATAAAAACCAAAATAGAAAACAAAAACAACTCAGACATGTTCTCTACATTTAATTCCAAAAAAAAAAAACACAGTTATAAATTTTTAAATGTTATTTTTTACAAAACAAGTTTTACTAAATGGATTTTTTTTCCTGAAAATCAAAAAATTGTTTTTGTAAACTAATTTCAAACAAGCCCTAAGTTGTTTTTGTTTTGTGTTTTGATTTTTAATTTTTAAAACAAAAAAATATACAAAACACATATTTCATTAACTATTTTATAAAATTATTTTAAGAAAAAAAATCAGAACACAATTAAACACACTTTTTATTTTTTGTTTTTTTCCTTCTTGCAAGATGGTTCTAGTATCATGATATTAATGGGTGAAATTGTTGAGTATAAATATTATTTAACTAATTTTAGTTATTTTTTAAGTGTTTGAGTTAGGAGTTAGCTTTCTGTTAGTCTCTGTTAGTTTTTGTTATGTACAACTGTCTTTCCTTATGCATTGACACATACTATATATACGTGTGCACTGTGTAGAATAGATATGATTGAACGCGAGATTACAATTCAATTTTAGTTTTCTCTTCACTTTCAAATGAGTTTCTTTAGTTTCATTCGTATCATGGTATCAGAGCTCTACACAGAGCTCTGATATTCGCCATTTCCTTTCTGTTCTCAATTTTGTTCTTCTTTCTTAATATCCTGTTGCAAATTACTTACTACATTCTTGATCTATGGCGAATCTGAGTTATGTTCATATCGAAGAAACAGTGGAAGATCAAGGTCCTGCATCCACTGCAATCCAGAGAAGTGAAACGAGATCATCGAATCATGTTGATAATTCAGATCCAGCAAGTCCTTATTTCTTGCATTCCAGTGAGAATCCCTCACTTGTGCTAGTCTCAACGCTGATGAATGGTAAGAATTACCACGGTTGGGCTAGGGCCATAAAGATGGCATCGATATCGAAAAACAAGTTTTCTTTTGTAAATGGGGACATATCAGCTCCAAATCCATCAGATTCTCAGTATGCGGCATGGGAAAGGTGTAATACAAATGGTTCTCTCATGGTTACACCGTTCTATTACTGAATTTATTTCCCAATCAACTTTATGGATGGATCGAGCATCAGATGTATGAAATGATCTCAAAGAGAGATTCTCACGATTGAGCGTCAGATGTATGAAATGATCTCAAAGAGAGATTCTCACAATCTGACATCTTTAGAATTTCTGATTTACAGGATGAACTTTACAGATTGCGTCAGGGTGATAGCTCTGTGTCAGACTACTACACACGGATCAAGATCCTATGGGATGAGCTAGAAGCTTTGCAACCAACTCCAACATGTACGTGTGTTCGTCCTTGCTACTCAATAGCTTCAGATGTGAAGAATATTCGTGAGAAAGATTACTCAATTCGCTTTCTCAAAGGACTGAATGATCAGTTCTCAAATGTTAGGTCTCAGATAATGCTAATGAATCCTTTGCCTTTAGTCAACCGTGTCTTTTCTTTAATAATGCAGCAAGAGAGACAACTGCATTTGGAAGGAGTTTTTAATAATCAAGAAGTTCATAAAGCCTTCTACAATTCCAATGAGCAAGTACAAGGCAGAGTACGCTTTCAGGCACGAGGCAGAGGACGTGGTAGTTTCACTGGGAAAGGAAGGTCAGGTTCTTCAAGACTTTGCACCTACTGTGGTAAGACAAGTCATATAGTGGAAACTTGTTTTGAGAAACATGGGTATCCCCCTGGTTATAAGCAAAAAGGGGCAACTCACAAAGCTAATGTAGCAGTTGTGCCAAAAGATCAGATGCAAGCTTCGATGGAGGGTATAAGAAATCCTTCACATATTGATTTGCAAGATGGCTTTACCAATAGTCAATACCAAACAACACTTGAGATGATTCAGCAATCACTCCAATAGAATTCACCTCACACAAGCAACTTGGCACAAGCGAAGGCATTCAGTGCAGAAACGACAGAATCCTCCTCAGGTATCTTTAATGTTCAGTGGATTTTAGACACAGGTGCCACTGATCATATCACATGTTCTTATGCAAATTTGTCTTGTGTTCACAAGATTGAACCTATTACCATTTTCTTACCAAATGGAAATCAAGTCTTTTCATATTATTCTGGTACTGTTCAACTCTCGAATTCTCTCAAGTTGACAAATGTGTTGTTTGTTAAAGAGTTCACAGTGAATTTAATATCAGTCACTAAGCTGATAGAAGAATCTAATTGTCGTGTGATTTTTCAGCATCCAACTTGTATCATTCAGCAAATGCCATCTCAACAGATGATTGGTTCTGCTGATTTGAAGAAGGGCTTGTATGTTCTTCGAGACACTAACTATGAAGACAAACACATTAGTCCTGCTAAAAAGGAGTTGTTGATAGATACACTTCCTTTCATTAATAGTACTCGTACTACACAATCCTTTATTTCTGATGAATGGCATTCCCATTTAGGGCATTGTTCGAAATCTGTAATAAAAGCCATGATGTCTCAATTTCCTTTTATCTCATGGAAAAACTTGGATGATCCATGTGACATTTGCCATTTAGCAAAACAAAAGAAATTTTCTTTTCCTAATAGTTCATTTGTTCCCAATTGTGCTCTTGATTTAGTGCATGTTGAAATCTGGGGACTTTGCTCTCTTAACTCAGTGCATCGATATCATTATCTTTTAACTATTGTAGATGATCATACCCGTTTCACTTGGGGTGTTCTTATGAAATCAAAATCTGAAACACGAAACCATATTCAGGCTTTTGTAGCTCTTGTGAAAAATCAGTTTAATATTACTATAAAATGCTTCTGCAGTGACAATGGCCCAAATTTTTTAACGACTGATTTCTTCAATGATAAAGGCATATTGCATCAGACTTCATGTGTGGAGTCCCCTCAGCAAAATGGAGTTCTTGAAAGAAAACAACAACATATTCCTAACACAGCAAGGGCTCTTTTCTTCCAAAGTAAACTTCCACAAAGTCTATGGTCTTACTGCATCACTCATGCTATATACCTCATTAATCGATTATGTTCACCTATGCTACAAAATAAGTCACCATTTGAGCTTTTATACAGCAAGCCACCTGTTATCATCCATTTAAGGAATTTTGGGTGCCTGCCATATGCCTCTACCATTAGCAATGGGCGTTCAAAATTTGATCCACGTGCTAGAAAGTGTGCATATCTAGGACATAAAGATGGTGATAAGGGATATGTTCTTTATGACTTGGCATCTAGACAGATTTTCATATCACGAAATGTGATATTCTATGAGAAGTATTTTCCTTTCTCTGAGTCAGGATATTCAAGGGAGGATCTTACCTGGCCTCTTACAGTTGATTCAACAACTTCATATGATTTAAACATTCCACAAAGACTTCATACACCTGAAACACCTCAACAATAATCTTCCATACAAGAGCATCAACCTTCTGCATCTGGAACAGATATCTCAAGTGAAATATTGCCTACTTGCTTGGAAAATCCCACTGCTCCCACCCTTCCAAGATGATCCACCAGAGTGAGAGGGCCTCCTAAACACCTCGAGGATTTTCAACATCACATGACAGCAGCTGTTGTTAGTATATGGATGTCCTAGAGACAATCTTTTGATTAGATTAGGACATATGTGGACCTTTTATATTGTCGCAAATAAATATAAGCACTCTTTATCCTGTTTCATATTTTGTCTCGATATTATTGTTAATATTATATGAGTAACTGGATAAACCCCTTGGAATAGAATAGGTATCTCTTGAGTATCTGTGATGAGATCACGATCATGAGGATTCAAGGATACCAGGTGTTTATTCCTAATTTTATGTTCCTAGTCTAGAGACACTGAGAATGGGGATCAGTCATCTCGGGTAAGACTAGCACGGCTTATCTACTTGTATTCGGATACAAGGTAAAGACCTCATGAGCTACAAATATGGAGATGTCTTAGCTAAAGTCGTGGGTGGACCTATAAGGGTATAGCTTGCACTGAACAGACCCACAAAGAGACTCTATGAGGAAATCTTACAAAAGGTATCATTAGAGCAGTCTCTAAATATTTGGGTATGTCTTTCCTTAGGCCAGAAGTTTTCACCTAGACTGTGTTCTAGAAAGCATGTTTTGATTGTATACCTCGTCTGCCTGAAACATGGAGATTCATAGGTATGCCTTTGGGCATGTCCTAAAAGAACACAAGCCTAAGGTGATAAGATTAAGGAATTCGTCAAATCTCTGTAAGGAATTAGGTTATCTGTAAACCGGAGAAATTGGGATGACATATACGGGACTCGGGAATCTATACATAGTAAAAGAGATCATGAGATGATCTGCCTTTAGAGTCAGTAAATTGAAGACTCCCTATTTCGAATTAAAGCTTACCCTAAACCGCAAGGGTTGATACATCACCTCACCCTAGGTTTAATGGTAAGGTAACCGAGACGAAAGGAAATATATACGGTAACCAAATATATTTAATAGGATGATCATGTCATTAACCTAACTAGCTCTGGGGCAACAAAGCATTGCTAGTGCTCTGTGTTGTAATTAAATGGGTTGTGGTCTTGTTGGGCCCAAGCCCATTTATGTCAGTAGCTATGTTGGGCCTATTGGGTCACACACTAATACCTTATTGTCTTGATAATATAGCATTAAAGGTTTTAGGCCTAATAATGGTTATTAGCCCAAGAAGAAATTTGGATGCCCACCTAAGAGGGAAAGGGCGCATGGTTGTTGTAATGTGCTTGGATGGTCCAAGACATTATTAAATAATTTAATTAGTTAAATTAATTATCAAATATTTAAATTTTGAATTTGAATTTTGAATTTAAATGTTTGAAAGTTTGAATTTAAATGTTTGAATTTGAATTTGAATTGGCTATAAAAGGTTGTTTCATAACAAAAGGATAAGATGAGATCTTGATAGATCAAATCCCAAGTATCAAGAGGAGATCTTTGGATATCATCAAAGATGATTTGGGGCACTGATTTGGTGGCCTTGTGATGATCATTTAGTCAACCAATTAAGCTCCAATCATATTTGGTTGGTTGAGAGAATATTTGAGTGAGTTGGCTCAATTTGAATTGCAACTACTCAATGTATTTGGACTGCATTTTGGGCCAAAGGGGCGCACCATATGGCTGACCATATGATGGTCATTAAGTCAGATTTTTGACTAGGTATAGACTTAGTCTCATGAGGATAGGATAAGAGGTTGTTGGCTAGATTTGAATTGCAACAACTCCACTCATTCCTCCACAAAAGGGGCGCAACTTTGGTCAGATCTTTGAGAGAAAAAATCTGATTCAAATCCATGGTTCTCTCATCTCCTTAAGTGTTTTCCTTTTGTTAGGTTCTCTTTAAGAGTTTTTTGAAAAATAACCTAGCCACTGATCATCCATTCCATGTGCCACTTTGTGAGTTTTCATGTTGAAAATTCACTCATCTAAACACCTTGAAACCTAAGCCTCTTTCTCTCCTATTGGACGCCTAGCTTGCTCCTTTGTGGTGTTCGAATTGGTGTCTTTTCAAGAAGAGTTCTTGCATCTTGACAAAGGGTGGTGTGGATCAACATTAGAGGGTTTGAACCTTCAAGCCTAACACTGATCACCTTCGAGTTTTGAGTTACGAACAAGGTATCTCTCTGTCCTAGAGTATGTATCTTGATTGGTATGTGTGTTTCTGTTTTGAATTTTTTTTTTCATCATCACATGCCTACGGCCTTCAAGACCATTTTCTTTCAAGTGGTATCAGAGCCCAGTTGCTTTACCATCGACGAGTGATGGTACCTTGTTTGTAAAACTTGTTCTTTACGGTCAAAAGTTCTTTAAAGAGTTAAAGCTTGAATCCTAGCATATGGATTTTGAATTACAATGCTTTAAATTGTTGAAGTTTTTAGTTTTATGAACATGTTAATGTGATTGCTATGTTCATATATCTATATGTGTTCATGGTTTTGTTTCTTCTTCTTTGTGAAAGTTTTGAAAAGAAACAACTTTTTGAAAGGGTTGATTCGGCCATGAGGGGTACTTCGAGTACCTTGATTGTTTTCTTATTCTTTCTCTATGAATTGTTTCATGAGCATAGCATGAAATTTTTGTGACAAAATTTATCATATATATGCATATATGATTCGGCCACACAAGGTGTGATGACTGCATGCGTGGTTTAATTTTGTGTTCTTTGAGAAAGAGTAAACAAAATTTGAATTATATTAATTGTTATATAATTCGACCATTAAGAGAAAAAATTAAGAAAATTTGAATCATGATTCTTGTTATGATATTTTAATTGTTAAAATATTAAGACGTATGTGTGAACATGTTTTGTGATATTTGATATTATGTGCTTGCAAGTTCTTTAACTTTTTAGGTGCAAATTGGAAGGCGATGGTCATGGTGCCCGAATTTAAATTTCAAATTTTTAACTTTAAATTAAAGGTTTAATTTTGCTCTATTTAAAGTAGAGATGTAAATTTGAATTTTAAATTTTTTTGTATCTTCATTTGTCCCTCCAAAGATGTTTTGGAGTTTCTTTAATTATTTTGTAATTAAAGAATTAGGCTAGTGGCGTTTAGACAAGAAGAAGTCGTGGCCTAAGGAGCAAGATGGAAGAATGCGCGAGCACCATGACTGTCTCAAATAAAATTGCCCAAATACGACTAGTGTAATCCGACAGATGTTTGACATAGGTTACGACTAGCATGATAATAATACATATGCGTTTGATGAGACTTAGTAAACCCTAAATAAAATGAACCCTTAAAGAAATCAATTATCAAGTGCATGATTACCTCCCACCACCAATATTACTCAAACCTCCTCTAAATAGTGGTGCTCCACAACTTAGTTGGGATCCACTGTTTTGTAACAGCCCGTTGTACACCGGTATTGTTAACATTCATTATGATATTAAGC